GACGAGTTGATGGCAGACGAAGACCAATATCCACGTCAAAGCCACTGCACTCTTGAAGTCGACATTTGCGTCCAAGACATTCTCAATCGGCAACAGGTGCAATATCGCCCCATCCACCACGACTTTCTAGAGCGGTCGAGCCAAATGCTTCGGAATCCTGATGATAAGTTCGTGCCATCTATGGCTGGTCTTTGGAGAGACGAAACACGTCGACGCAAGCTTCGCATGGGCCTAACCGACCCTTCCAGCAGTCCGTTTCCTACCGAAGTGCTAGTATCAATGTCAGCAGACATACGCGACACCAAGAAAGGCGGGTGGATACATGAAGATGAATATAGGGAAATCATTGAGGGCTTGATTAAAGAAGAACATAAGGACAGGGGTGAAGTGAGTTTTGATACATTCATCAAGCCAACAACAGGCCAGGATCGCATTAAGACTGCTGTGGAGAGCATTGAAGATCTCTATCCGGAAGTTTTGTCTACACAAAGGCTCGCGGATTATAGTCTGGGGCGTCAGGTTGAAACATTTGAGGAAGACAACGTTCATGATTTAGATGGAGTTGGACTACAGTCAGATGACCTGGACCCACTGCCGCAGTATCAGAATGATGATTCGATCTTTAGCGATGACGATAGCCAAAATCAAGCAGATGCAGACAATCAGTCTGATGGTGAGGAACTCCCGATGGACCCTCTCACCATATCCTTGCTACAAGCCTCCAATGAAACGACAGAAAACGGTAGACTCGTAGACGAAGGTATCGATCTGGTTGATCCAAGTGACGAGGACGAGCCCCCAAATTCCAGCAGTCCCAGCTCTATGCGCAAGCGCCATATCGAGTTTACCGATGAAGACTACAACAAGCGTCAACGGATTTTACAAGAAACGCAGGGCACCGCTCTTCGTGTCTCGTTCCGTAATGCTCTCGGTAAAGACCGCGATAGAGCGGCAGGCGAATTTCAGAAAGGCGATTGGGAAGAGGCTCCCCCAGCAGGTCAGGTTTCTCAAGCAAGCATCAAAGCTCAAGGGTTTGGGGGGTCTACTACACTCTCTTTTCCTGTAGTGAAAAATCCGAATGCACCTGAGACTGTTCATCGCCTCAGCCAGTCAGGTTACTCTAATTCTCAGGAGGGCCCGAAGACACCTGGGGCTAAGTATCTCAACGTTAGGGCATCACAACGCTCCCCTGTTACTCCTTGGACACATCAAAAGACGTCACCAGCAATGCCTAGCAGCAGTGTACCAAAAGCTCGCTCGCAAGCCACAGTTTTGGTGAAGAAGCTGGACAAGTCCTGTCGACATCATCGGCCTACAGTATATTACGCGTGTCTACCTCCAACGGTCGAAATGGTCGACAGTACTATGATGAATGCTGGCTTACCACCGGTAATCTACCAAGATGCATATTATAGTAATGAGAAAGACGTTCCGGACCGTCCTCGTGAATACGCAGGTAGGGAGTTCAAATTACAGAGTACTACTTTGCCATATCTTCCTCCATTCGACCCAGCTGGCGCATCCCTTGCGAACATTGGAGAATACCCGCCGGTCGTGGTAGACAAGAGGAAGCAAGTTACAATATATCAAGCAAGGTCTAAACGTTGCAGCTTGCGCCATTGGGAGATATCGAGACCTCCACCTTCTTTCAAAGAAGTAGAAGACTGGACACTTCGTAAATCGAAGCAACGTAAGACACTGAAGTCCACCATGAAGACAAGTTTCGCGCCCATATTACGCGAATTCGAACCTGCACATGATCCTTCACAGATTGAAGGCCCAACGCAGAAAAACCCCCATGGCTGCAAATATTCGCAGAAACAAAACAACACCAGTGTCAAGCACCAACCCCAGTACATGAGCATCATGAGCTTAGAGGTTCACGTAAACTCCCGAGGATCACTGGTACCTGATCCTGCCGAAGACGAAATACAATGTGTCTTTTGGAGTATCCAAGGCGAGGAGAACGCATTCACTGATCGACCACGCAAAGGTATATTGTGCTTTTCTGACGAAGACGGCATAGCTGTACGCATCGCCAAACAGGTCTCGGTAGAGGTCGAATACGAAGAGGACGAGCTGGACCTTATCAATCGCTTGGTTGATATTGTTCGTCAGTTCGATCCAGATATTCTCACTGGGTACGAGGTACATAATAGTTCCTGGGGCTACCTCATAGAACGGGCTAGAATGAAGTACGAGTACAATCTTTGCGATGAGATCAGCAGGATGAAATCGCAGTCGTATGGAAGATTTGGTAAAGAAGCAGATCGCTGGGGTTTCACGCATACATCCACTATCCGAGTTACTGGCCGTCACATGATCAATATTTGGAGAGCTATGCGTGGGGAGCTGAACTTGCTGCAGTACACTATGGAGAATGTGGTATTCCATTTACTACATAAGCGTATTCCACATTACCAGCATTCAGATCTTACCACATGGTACACGAACGGGAAGCCTCGAGATCTCGCCAAAGTTCTCGACTACTTTATTACTCGTGTTCAGCTGAATCTTGACCTTTTGGAGGCCAACGATATCGTACCGCGTACCAGCGAACAGGCACGTTTACTTGGCATTGATTTCTTTGCGGTCATCTCTCGGGGTTCGCAATTCAAGGTGGAGTCCACCATGTTTCGTATTGCAAAGCCAGAGAACTTTATTCTTGTCTCGCCGAGCAGGAAACAAGTCGGTCAACAGAACGCACTAGAGTGTCTGCCTCTGGTGATGGAGCCTCAGAGCGCTTTCTATTCTAGCCCGGTACTGGTACTGGATTTTCAGTCGCTGTACCCGAGTGTCATGATGGCGTACAACTATTGTTATTCTACTTGTCTTGGGCGAATCGTTAGCTGGCGCGGTCGCAACAAGATGGGCTTTATGGACTTCAAGCGCGAACCTCAATTACTGGAATTGGTCAAAGATCATATCAACATCGCCCCGAATGGTATGATGTACGTCAAACCAGAGATGCGGAAATCCTTGCTGGCAAAGATGCTTGGTGAGATCTTGGAGACTCGGGTTATGGTCAAAAGTGGTATGAAGGAGGACAAAGATGACAAGACCCTTCAGAGGTTGCTGAACAACAGACAATTGGCATTGAAGCTGCTGGCCAACGTCACTTATGGTTACACATCGGCTTCGTTTTCAGGACGCATGCCATGCTCTGAAATTGCCGACAGTATTGTTCAAACTGGTCGTGAGACCCTTGAGAAGGCAATTGCAATCATTCATGCGACAGAGAAATGGGGCGCAGAAGTCGTTTATGGAGACACGGATTCGCTATTCATCCACCTCAAAGGGCGCACAAAAGACCAAGCATTCGCAATCGGCGAAGAGATTGCTGCCGCTATTACCGCCGCCAATCCAAGGCCCATCAAGCTCAAGTTCGAAAAGGTGTACCATCCATGTGTTTTACTCGCCAAGAAACGTTACGTTGGCTTCAAGTACGAGCACAGAAATCAAAAAGAGCCAGAATTTGATGCAAAAGGCATCGAAACTGTACGCCGAGATGGCACACCTGCAGAGCAAAAGATTGAGGAGAAGGCGATCAAGCTCCTTTTCCGAACCTCAGACCTCAGCAAAGTAAAAAGCTACTTCCAAGAGCAGTGCGCCAAGATCATGGAAGGTCGTGTCAGCATCCAGGACTTTCTCTTTGCCAAAGAAGTCAAGCTGGGGACGTACTCCAACAAAGGGCGTCCACCACCCGGCGCCCTCATTGCCACAAAACGTATGCTTGCCGATCCACGCGCAGAACCACAATATGGCGAACGCGTCCCCTACGTCGTCATTACTGGTGCACCAGGAGCCCGGCTCATTGATCGCTGCGTCAATCCAGAGATGCTACTCCAAAATGACCATCTGGAGCTCGACGCCGAGTACTACATTTCCAAAAACCTAATCCCCCCGCTCGAACGCATATTCAACCTTGTCGGCGCCAACGTCCGACAGTGGTACGACGAGATGCCCAAAATACAACGCATACGCAACATTTCGATTCCCATTGCACCGAAATACGACGACAACGGCAATACCCTCATAGGCAGTGGGCACAATTCCTTAAAGAAAACACTAGAAAGCTACATGAAATCCTCAAGCTGCCTCGTCTGCCGTTCAAAACTCAGCCCCCCTTCGTCAACACAGTTTTCCAGCGCTGCATACGCCATGCTCCCACTGTGCGCAAAGTGCGTCAAACGCCCCGCAAACTCACTTCTTGCGCTCAAATACAGCATCCGGGATAGCGAGACACGGATGAAGCAGGTGGATGCCGTGTGTAGGGGCTGCGCGAATCTAGCGTGGAATGAAGAGATACGGTGCGATAGTAGGGATTGTCCAGTGTTTTATAGTCGGGTGAAAGAGAAGAGTCGGTTGGCGGCATTGAGGGAGAATGTAGGGCCGGTTGTTGAGGTCATGGAGGGTATGATGTATGGGGAGGATGAGGAAGAAGGTGAATATGGGGGGAAACGAGGAAATGGTGATGACATTGCATGGTAGGAGTTTTTTGTCAGTTTGGAGTGGACGTCTGTATACCCGTTTAGACTTTGATGTGAGATGTACGAAACGAAGAATGGTGTTTTCACTATTTTATGTGTGAACCAGTAGTCAGCATGTATTTTTGTAAAGAGAGGAGTGCATCGCAGAAGCGTATGAAGCGATCATTTGCGCGTAGACGCGTTACAGCGTCCCAAGCAATATAGTTTACATCCGAGTATACTTTTGTACAGCAAAAACATATGCACGTACCCCGCCAGCCATAACATTTACAAAGAGAAAGAATGAACCGAAACCACCCCATACTCAACCATCTCGCAATATAGCACAAATACAATATCAACCCCAGCTCGCCATGTACGCTAAAAAACACAACTCAATCAGCTCCAACCACGCCATATCTCCCGCCCCTCCACAGCATACTTGCTTTTTCCTATTCCCTTCCTTCCTTTTTCCCATCCCCACCCGCGCCCGTCCTCCCATGCACTCATCCATCCTTCCCTCCCCTCCTCTCACTCCCCCAACTCCCCCAAACTCCTCCTCGGCAATCCCAACCTAACCCTCCCCTCATTAACCCTCTCCAGCGCCTCCCTCCTCCTCTTCAACGGCAAACTCTCATACTCCATCTGCAGCGTTCTCGTCTCCCTGCGCCACGCCCGCACCCTCATGTCGTTGCTTTTTTGTTTCGCGCTCCCTGCGGTGGCTGGGGGATCCGCAGTGGTGGTGCATAGGGATGAGGTTGAGCCGGCGTAACTGGCGTTATTGTCCAGATAGGGTATGTGAGGATGCACGGTAGTGCTGGATGCGTTGGAGTGCCATTGCGAGGAGGCTTTGCGGAGAGAAAGGGGGAAGGTGGTGCTGGATTTTAGGGCGGAGAAGAGACGCGTGGTGGAGGAGGGTGTTGGGCTGCGGGGTGGGGTGCTAATGGTGCTGGATGAGGAGGAGGAGAGGGAGTCGTTGAGAGAGGGGGTTGGGGAGGGTGGGAGGGTGGACCAGCGTTTGAAGTAGGTCATTGCCATTTTTCCGGGGTGGTTGGGTTGGATGTCGGGAGCGTTATTGTGTTGAAGGTTGATTTGATGTAATAGAGCACATAGAAAAATGAGTGTAAGAATTGAAGAAGGGTTTGGAAAAGAGATAGAGGTTCAGATGTCCATCTGTGGAAGTTTTTACGACAAAAAATATTTTTGGGAAACATGGGAAGGCACATGCTGGAACCAATATTTGAGTCCTCGTGCCCTTTCCCTCCCAACAAGCAAAGTTGTTCTGAAACAGAATTTGTTATTTTTGGGCAAACAGTGGTTCGCAAGCCTTGCTCGCCTAAAGATTCTGTTTTCCGTGGTTTGGGCTTTTGCTTTTTCTGATACGCGGTATATCGGAAATTATCTTGGCTCCATTTACCTTACACGGAGAGATGGTAAATGGACGAAATGGACTTCGGTAGTTACAGATGAGCACCTCGGCTTTGTAGATCGTATCGGTGGCTTCGGTTCTTATCTGGGCACCATGTACTAGGTCAGGTTTTCGAAGAAACTTTAGTCCCGCCATGGTTCTATACAATCACTAGCTCTTCTACCTCGTCAGTCTCCGGCCCCTCAAAACACTCCGTCGTCATGGTTGTGAACCCAATCCTTCTCCATACATTCTCTTTCCCTTCCTGCTCCACCCTCTTCAATACAAGCCCCGATGCATACACCACGTCGTGGGTCCTCTTCCTGTCCCTCATAATCTCTAAACACTTCACCTCATCATTAGGTCTTAACTCTTCGTAGTCGTCTTGTGCATCCAGTACCGCAAAACACTCTGCCCCGGGTTTATGAAGCCGAACCCTGCCATCTGGCACATAACGTGGTATCACCTCTTCTTCATCATCCAGCCACATAACCGTTGTCCTTCCTCTGATCCTCATCTCTCCCGCTTTTACTGGCCCAAACGGATCGTCCGTGGCCAGTTCACACTGCACATCCAGCACCTCTGCGAGTTCGTGTGTCTGTGAAGTAGGAATTGCTCCTGGGTAATAGTACCACACAACGCCACCACTGCGACTTGCCCATGACCATGAGGGCGCTAGGTAGGTTCCCGTGGCGTGACGTGAGCTCTTATGCGTATCATATGCCTCCCACTGAAGTCCAAGAAGAAGGTTGTGTGACCAGAGTCCGGCGTAGTATGTCCCCAATCTAGGGCTGATGGCTTTTGCAAGACTAGAGGATGCTGGTAGAATGTCTGTAGGGTATGTGAGACCTTTGGCAGTGTAGTCTTCAATGAGGGCGGCATTTGCTTCCCAGAGATTGTTCCGGGCTTTCTCGAAGTATGCTCTTCCCACCATAGATGGCACTACCCCAACATTGTCAGGTTCAGACTCAGAGGCAGTCTCAGCTGTTGGTGCGGACTGAGATGAAGTGGAAGGAGACGAGGAAGCAACAGCGTCATCAAACGCCCTCAACGCCCTGGGTAACAGCCTCTTTAAACGAGACCATGAGCTCTGAAGGCCTCCGATTTTCTCTTTTAAGACCCTCTGGCATTCACAATCTATCATTTTGCCACATTCGAAATATGACTCTTCGCAATCACCCCCAAAGTGTAGGATCCGCTGCGCGAACAGCCGTTCCTGAAAACACCACGCGCGTCCCCAGTAGGACTTGGTATCCTGAGCTGGGTTGAAAAAGTTTTCGTGTTGCGGGATCGCCCGCACAAACACCGGGGTGCCGGGATCAATGGTTGGTTGTAAGGGCGGTGGTATAATCTGCCTTGTTCCGTAACGGTTGAAGAATAATTCAGGGCCATGTGCAGCGATGACGAGTGCTGCTTGTGCATAGACGTGACCCATATGTGGTGCCTCGGCTGCAAAATCGACTGCATCCCCTTGCAAGATACATAGGGAATCTATCCATATGTAGTCATAGCCTAGGCAGATACAGAGCAGTATAGCATCGCGGAAGACAGGTGAGAGAGAGCCCGAAGGAACAGAGGCAAGGTGAGCCGTCAAATTAGCAGCCGTAGTTTTGAGCGGCTGTGTGTACGACCAGCAGTGGCTAACTGCAACATATGTGTATTGTTCGGTGGGGGAAGTGTGAAAAAGTTGAAGAGTAGGAATGCCGTATTCGGGTGCAGGGGCGAGATTTATCCGGAGTAGGCGACTAGGAGGGCGTGCATTGGGAACTGTATTGCAAACTTTATGATTTTGGACGCATTTGTTGATCCAATCTGCGAACAAATTGAGGGTCGGAGCAGAAAGGACGACGGAGGAAATATGGGGTGATGGAGGGAAAGCTTTCCAGGGGCTAGGATTTCCTACGCATGATTAGTCGAATTTGGACTACAAAGCAACACCATCCTAGAGGTAGAATTCAGATCGCATTTTATCAAGACAAAGTGCACCGTAGCAAGAGAGAATATACTTGGGTCAGAGTAGAAATCAAGCTGAAAAACGTTCTCTTTTCTCCCCACACCCGCATGCGAGATTGGGGGCACCTGTAACCTGACTTCTAGCTTGCTCTTTCCTTTTCCAAACGTGATATTCACAATCATTACTTCTGTATCTACCGGCTGTTCTGGAAATTGATCTGGAATTTCGTCAACTAAACACTTGTGTTGCACGAACTGACTCTCAATCCACCGCAATTCATCCCATTTGGGTTTCCAGTCGTCTGCAAACTCGTTAATCCCCTGGAGAAGAATGGAACAGAAAGCGCAATCCGTGGATCCGGAAATCAGTTTTGCTAGATTCGTGACAACCCAGTATTCTCTTCCATTTTCGCCACGATACTCTAGTTCAGAGGCTATGGGCGGATGAATCATCGCTTTACATGTGCCTGGGATAGGGTCTTGGTCGTCAGAGTGAATGATTAGGCTACCCTTGGGACTATGGGTTCTTTGGCTAGAATGCATGATTAGTATATTGACGCAATCACCACAATAAAAGCAACACGATGATGTGCGTACTTCTTGGTATATGTCTGTGGTCCGCCTGCCTTATCTTCCTTGAAGCGGAGCCAGCGGGTGCCGTCACTAGTCTTTTTGCAGAGTAGACCGTTACGGAAGGCCCAGCTTTCCATTCCGAAAGCAACCTCATGCTGGCTCATGAGCACAGGCTTGGTCTCGCTAAGTTCGTCATCAATTGATCCTAGTTGATTGTCGGGTTTGGCGGTAGATGGGGAGGCCATTTTCATTCAAGGATAACACACACGTTGGTGTTGCGGTACTGAAGTTAGCTGAATGCGGGGAGTGTCGTTGTCTGATCGCCTAGCTGCTGCGGCTGCGGCTGAAGAAAGAGCCATCAAGTGGCGTGGAAAGCTCACAGCCACAGGGCTGAGATACTCTTCCAGATCAGGAGGCGTGACAGGCATTTGAGGAAATTTTGAGACGGGTGTTGGATATCGAAAACATCTCGACAAGGCAGGCACCAAAGGGCGTGGAAAGATAAGGGCGTGTACAGCTAACCGACGGCGTAGAAAGAAGAGCGAATACTCGACGGTTTTGCTGAAATCCGAAGCGTCAGGACCAGGATCAAGATTGAATTCGCTAGTGAACCAAACACTAACCAATTCTCGAAAAAAATCATAGGAAAAAGAGAAAGAGTCTTTGTAGCGCAGCCTCGTCTCGTGGTCCTTTTGCCATATGTAAGGTCCGATTTGGTAGCCCGAACTTCCGCTACTTGCAGCGACTGCATCTCTACTTTTTCAGTATGTCTTGGGCAGAGAATATTTTGATAAAAAATACTCATAACCATGAGTTTTGGTTAAAGCGCTACCGCTTGGTTGATGTAAATTGTTGATATTGCTATTCACACAACTCAGATGCATGACACTCACTTAATACATAAACTGAGAGCTATTACAGTATTCTGGATACAAGAGTCGGTTCCATGGCTCAACGCACACGAAACTTGGATAATCCATTGCGCAATTTTGTGTAAACCTACACAATTATGTATGGGATATTATAGCCAAAAGGAGAAAGGCATGAATCGAGATTGGTGCTCGATGCGACGTCATTACAAACTAGACTAATCCGATACGTACATCCACCAGCATGATCGGTTAAAAGCCCCGAGATGAATTGTTTCATGCACCCCCTCCACAGAAAAAGTGGCAGTACTTAGCGCGTACTCCCGAGTAAGGTACTGCTACTTTTTCTGTGGAGGGGGTGCATGCAGTCTCAGCCTCAGTTGGGCGCCACATACCTCATGTGGATCGATTGCATATGCGCGAGTGCCTTGTATAGTTACGGGCGTAAGTAAGGGTGCAGCATACTAACCCCTCTCCTCCAAGCGCCTGTCAGACGCATGCGATACCAACTCGATCACCGCCGGCGACGCTATCCAACATCCAAAACCTACTGTATAATAGGATTGAACAGAAAGATGGCTAACCCACATAAGATCAATATGGAAAAACACAACTTCTCAATTTTCCACTAATCGCCTTGCTAAGTTGGTGAGACTCAATGCATACCTTGTAGTTCTTACCTGTTTTGGTTGTCAAGCCCGACAGCGAAAAGTGTTGGTAATGATGCTGTTTTTGACGAGAACATAGTGTCATGGCTTAACCTCTTTGGAGGCAAAGCAGAAGTAATCCGTTCAACGGTGCTATCCGGAAATAATCTAGATATGATGAATCGGGTAGTATGACTCCAAGTATTCAGACAAGCTATCACACATACTGGCATCTTTCATTACGTAAAATGTCCCGGTCTCCTTCCTGCTAACCACCAATCATTTGTATTTGAGTGATCAAAGCTGCGCTGGCATTTCTCACTTTATCACAAGAAAGTGATGCAATTCAGTTGTAAGGGGAAATCGAAAAAGTCGATACATATTGGGTCGTGGGGTCAAAGTTCGTAAGCTAGTGTTGGAAACATAGGGCCTGCCAATAGTTCGACCAATTCGGGCGAGGGCTTCGTTAGGGGGCTGATTTGCGATACTTCAACCTTCATACAGAAAGATCTAACATACACAGCTAAGATGTTGTCTAAACAACTCACTAGCGTGGCCAACTATGTAGATCATGGGGCGCTAGGGGTGTTTTTAAGATCTCCTGGTATGATTTACATGTTACCTCGCTCTACTAGTCGAAGATCCGCTAATCAAACTTCACCTGAAAGGCAAGTAAAATGACCATACCAGAAATTTTGACTCAACGAAAATACGATGGCACAAAAAAATGATCTGCACTAGTCAGTAGTGGCTCTCGAAAGGTCTCATTTGAACATCCAGTCGGCTATAAGCCAATGGATATTATGAATCGCTTACAACCCGCCCCGAAGCTTGGTATCTGTGTTTGACCCCGCCTCAAACCAACTGTATAGGCAATATCTGGAGTCTCACCAGAAATGTGTCAGCATAAGTGCAGAATCCCTCAACCTTGAAGCAATTACTGAGTACTGTATGTATCTCAATGTACTACTTGCGTTGATATTTCTGAAACACTCAGTTAGAATGGGGAATACTGGGCAAGATAGAAATCCAGACATTGCTGTTGCTTTCCTGTAGATGAGCAGTCCTATGTTATTCTACTTCGTCACAAAGCTTTGACTAAGAGATACAAGGGAAACGTCGTAGAAATGTGTATATGACTAAGCATATATAGGGAATTGTATGTGGTTGCACATATATACATAGCTCAGCCACATGTATCCCTGTCTATCATCTACTACCATGAAGACATTAGTGACAACACATGTTCTAGTCCAAAGCACTAAGAGTGAGCAGACAATAGGCGTAGTCGGTAGCTAGGGGCAGGCGTTCCAGACTATGACAATAATGGGCCCATATGGGATAATAGTTACAGTCTAGCAGAAGCGAATACGTACCCCGAGAAAATGTTGCGTCATGACGGAACTCCGGCTCTACTTCAGACATCCAAGTTGCCGGTAAGCTAGGGTGAACGATACCATCAAGAAATGCAAACAGCGTCCATGGGCGATGACTTGCGACAACCATTGTACTGGAAGCGCTAAAAGATCAACCCATGCGACGTCAGGTCATCGGATAAAACGGTCCGAGATATGACCGGGGCCGTTGTGAAGTGTACCGGTATACCTGTTTTGAATAAAAGACCCACCATTGATACACCAAACAACTTGGAACTACTCAAAACACGGCACATAGCTTACTATATCTGAGAGCTAACATATCGTATTACTCAACCTAATCAGGGTATAGCCATGCTTTCCAAGGCACGTCCTATGTAGCCGCATAGTAAAGGATTGGCTTACCCTTTTCTGCTTCAAAGATGTATATGTAATCATAGTGCCCCAGAATCGGTATATAACTCGATTGAGTAGAGACAGGGATGTAACAGCCTGGACCGCATCGAATCACTTATCAGACCATGGTGTGCTAGAAACCAAGGCTGGCAGACATCTTGGGCTTTGGTGGTTAGGGTAAGCGAATGACACACGCAACCCCGAGTCAGACAGTGGGCATTCATACCTGTCAAGGCACTCTTTTTGTGGCTTGTGCATCCAAAAACATTTGTAGATGTCGAAAAATTCGAGCTGCGGAATATTCGTATTGAACTCTCATACGACAAGAAATAGTGCTGACTGCTCAATCTTCAAGTGCGTCGATGATTAGAATCGCCCCATTTACCTCGATCAATGGAATTGCTATCGGCAAAAGCAAATTGAAACGAACCAAGGGAGAGACTTTCCCATAACTAAGCTGGTCGTATCAAGATGAACAGACCAACGTGCGAATCGGGAGAGTTGAGAATGTAATTGCTCGAAGCTGATAGCCAGTACGTTGCAGCCTCCAGCAAGATATGTCTCAATGCACCTAACAGTAAGACGCTAAGCATTCACAACTCGTTTTCACATTACTACCTCAATACTGGAAAGCAATCTTCAGGTGCTATGTGCGCACTCGCGTTTTCATGACCTACATTGGCACCATTACGATTCATTAGTCGATGAAAGCCTCTCTATGGAGGCTTCCCGAATAATCTGTGAGCACAATTTGAATTGAGGTAGGTTATAAAGTAGAATATAAGATAGTTAGGACATTTGAGGTGAGTAATATGACGGTGAGGGGGCGCGAGGGGAGAAGGCGCGCTATCACGTGAGGCAGACGACTAAGGTTATTACATAATCACAGAACGCGTTTGCCAGTGAGAGCAACAACTTTCTAGCAAACAACAACGCCGCTGCTGCCTCCCCAGCGACCAATTTCCGCCACCTCTTACCTTCACCACTATTGGAATTTTCAGTGCGATCGCTAATATGTAAGGACGCCTTTTGCGCGATGTATATGATGAGAAAGCTAACGCAGCACAGGGAGGCATTCAACGACATTTATCTCAACCTCTCACGAAAGCCTGGTGCGACTCGATTCTCCGACTCAGGGTTTGGCTGGAAGCCAGCGAACGGCGAAACCTACACTTGCGACCAGTCACAGATTATCCAAGCACAGTGGAGCCGAGCAGCGCGCGGGTACGAAGTCAAGATCCTCTCACGTAACGATGGCATAATACAGCTTGACGGATTCAAGCAGGAGGATTTCGACCGTGTTGCAAAAGTCTTCAAAACTTGGTATGGGATAAGTTTGGACAACCGAGAGCACGCTCTGCGTGGTTGGAATTGGGGAAAGGCCGACTTTGGCAAGGCCGAGCTCACTTTCAACGTCGCCAACCGTCCCGCGTTCGAGGTGCCGTACACCGAAGTCTCCAACACCAACTTGGCAGGCAAGAACGAAGTCGCAGTCGATTTCTCGCTTCCAGCGGACAGTGATTCGGGCGCGAATGGCCAACTTGGAGGAGCCAGGTTTAGAGGCAAGAAATCTGCTGGCGCCCGGGACCAGCTTGTTGAGATGCGCTTCTACATACCCGGTTTGGCATCCAAGAAGGAGAAGACCGAAGATGGAGAGGATGCTTCTGGGGCAGAGGATGGTGAAGAGACGAATGCGGCTAATCTATTCTACGAGACATTGATGGAGAAGGCTGAGATTGGCGAAGTTGCGGGTGACACATTTGCCACATTCTTGGATATCCTACATCTTACTCCTAGGTATGGTGTTTTCATTTGCAGTTACATCCTAGGCGCTAACACTGAGGCAGGGGTCGTTTCGATATTGATATGTACGAGAGCTCGTTCCGGTTGCGTGGTAAAACCTACGACTACAAGATCCAGTTTGACTCGGTCAAGAAGTTTATGGTTTTGCCAAAGCCTGACGACATGCACACTTTGATCACCATCGGTCTGGACCCGCCCTTGAGACAGGGTCAGACGCGATACCCGTTCCTTGTGATGCAGTTCAAGCGCGACGAAGAAGTCAACCTAGATCTGAACATGAAGGGAGACTTACTCGAGGACAAGTACAAGGACAAGCTTCAGTCACACTATGAAGCGCCCATTGCTACAGTTGTAGCTGACATTTTCCGTGGTCTCAGCGGAAAACGCATCACCAGGCCATCTCGGGACTTTATCAGTCACCACGAGCAGTCTGGTGTTAAGTGCTCCATCAAGGCTAACGAGGGACACCTTTTCTGCCTCGACAAAGCATTCATGTTCATTCCTAAGCCGGCCACGTATATCAGTATGGACAACATCCAATCAGTGACGATGTCGCGTGTTGGAGGGGCCATGGCCGCAAGCCGTACGTTCGACATCACCTTCACGATGAAGAATGGCATGGCGGAACATCAGTTCTCCAACATTAATCGGTACGTAATTAATTTGTACATGCCGTGATTCAGTAGGACTAACACTCAATAGTGAGGAGCAACAACCGTTGGAGAATTTCTTCCGTGCCAAAGGCATCAAGACGAAGAACGAAATGGCAGATGACGTAAGTAGAAAAAACTCCCCAGGTCTCGTAGTCTGTGCTAATGAGGCAATGCGAAGTCGGGAGCTATTCTTGCAGCAGCACTTCAGGACGAAGATCTTGCATCGAGTGACGATGGAGCACCAGCAAACCGCGGTAGTGCCGACGAGGATGACGAAAGTGTTGATGAGGACTTTCAAGCGGACTCGGAATCAGAGGTTGGCGAGGAGTTTGACTCAGACCATCAGAGCAGCGGCTCCGACAGTGATGCAGAGATGGATGATGCGGAGAGCGAGGGTGACGCCGCGGAAGCGGTGCCAGAACGACCGAAGAAGAAGCAGAAGGTGTCGCAATAGTCCACGATCCCAGCCACCACACGCGGGCACGGGTGGACGGGCGACGGGGGAGGGGGAGGGCGGTGAAGGGGGGGCCACTATCTTTTGACGCTTGCACGTTCATCGAAGATGCAGCATTCCAATGATAAAAGAAGACGGTCGGGTTGCCGCTCTTAACGCTCACAACGGATCTCGAGGGCTTTGGTGAGGGCATGGAAGTAAGTCCGCCCGCTCCAATAGGCCGTATGTACGCTTGGCAGGATAGCAGGAAGAGAAGTTCCGAACAGGGTAGGATGCATCTAATGCGCTGGTAGTCCCAGAAGACGGGCCGACCAGCATCCTTAGCCGAATGTGCAGCGTACGAAAAGTTTAACTAAAGTGGCAAGTTAGCGCCCACCATTCCGGCTAGGCCTCCACCAGTGCACGTCTCAAGCGTCTAACAGTGATGTGCGCACTGCACTTCGGCCATGACTCGGCTGACTGCGGCGCTTGACGCGACCTGGCGTGTGCGTGCAGGCCCATCACAGTCCCTGTACGCTGAAGCCCAGGCTCTCCTACACCAGCCGGATTGAGCTATGCGAAAGCGATTCAGATGATGCACTAGGCCAGAGGCAACCCCTTGGTAGATTTTCCCGACCTTGTTCATGGTGACGGTGGATCCGCAACTGGCGTGAACACACATGCTAGACCCCGCATCTAACCATCGAGTTTCAAACGCTCTATCTCCCTCCATCAGGCTGATATAGATATAGGGCAGCTCTCTTCGATCCATGTGGATGCTCCCTCATACCCACATTCCTCGCCAAGAGGCTGTGTACTTTAGAGCTCTCCAGACTTGGACCCACACACTTAAATTCCTTTGAGATGCGTTCACGAACCGGATGGTAAGTGGCGTTGGACTACTAACTATGCTGCCGCCTCCTGACCTTTCTACAGCCTAACTTGCCGTCAGCGGAAGCTGAAGTGCGATGAAAAGAAGCCAGTTTGTGGGCAATGCACAAAGGCTTCCAGAGAATGCATACCAAGCTCAGGCATTGTCTTCCGCCACCAACACAATGCCTCCATGAATGGGGACGACTCGGGCGATGAGAACTCCCTCAAGGGCTTCTATGCATACAAGAACACATTTGATGACGATGCCATCTGGATAGACATTCCCAAGCATGGTTAGTACACCGATGCATCCTCTTCAGCTTGCTCGCTAACTCGACGCCACAGTCACATTCATCAACACCACCAACCCATATCTTGATCCTGGCACACCTGACTTTGACAACATGTCAACAGCTTCCATGGAATCACCAGGACCATTTGAGGCTCGTTCATTAGGCTCATGGCGTACACACAGCACTTTCCAATCAGTTACCAGCACACCATCCAGTTTGGGACCCGAACTAGCGCCTACCAGCATACCGTTCTGCTACACTCCCGAACTTGAGGCCCTGCCGCCTCTGATGCAGTCACCTCCCACATCTACAGTAGGAACGCCCATGTCACCGCCCATGTCATTATGCAACCGACACATACACCCAGTCATGGACTACACCGTTTCTGCTGCTCCGTCGCCACCTATTGATCCTCGCCTCAACTCACCATACGACTCTTCCGACCGAATGCATCGGTCTGTCTCCATATCCAGCTCCAGACGGTCAGTGCCCCGTTCGGATGGCGGCATGTCACCTCAAGACGACCAAGAAATTGCCTTCCTCCTGCGGCATTTCTCAGAAGGTCCCGGATACTGGATGGATCTCTTCGACATCGGAACATACTTTGCTTCGTACGTTCCTGTCAAAGCGCGTGAGAATCCACTACTCAAGTTTGCGGCCGTTGCGTGTGCTGCCAAGGCACTTGCACGTGTTCAGGGACGCAACTCCGTCATGGGAGGTAGCGCCACATACCAAGCTCGGATGGCCCAGTATCCAGATGCGCAACTAGTAGACTGGAAGCACAAGGCTGCCGTATATTATGATACTGCCGTGTCATTGCTACTGCACGCTCTGAAGATGGATGTCGTATCTTCTCCTGACGAATCAGAGTGCGAGCAGAGATACCCTTCCTCGGCTTTTGACGGACCAGTCCCCAAACGACGACGGACTTCGAGCAACACATCGTTTGCATCCAACACAGACGATCTTCTTGCAGCCTCCGCCATTCTGTGCGCCTACGAGTTCCTCGACACATCCGTTTCGGAATGGGCCAAGCACCTAAATGGTGCTAAGTCTCTTCTGGTCCTTTCCCAAGAGCACGGTATGCCACTACAACTACCAACACCCACATCGACATCCCCGTTGTCAAGTTACAACATGACTTCCAAGGCTCGTAGGGCGACGTTCTGGAACATTGCTAGGCAGGATATGCTTGCAGCTTGTAAGTTTGTGCCTGAAACACCTAAAGGGTCCTGCTAACATTATCCAAAGTCATCAATAAAACACACACAAGACTTGATACTGAAGACTTGGCTATCTGGAGGGACGCAGGTCTCATGGTTGATGAGCAAGGCTTCATCATGCCGAGCAACATTGCAGCAAGCGGCTACCTTGAAGAAGGCGATGCTACCATGCGAGAAGATATTGTATGCAACGCTCTTGTTTGGCTCATGGCTAAACTAGTCAACTTCATGGCTGCTGGCGATGAGATTGCCAGCCCATCTGGAGTTAGCTGGAGCGGTGTTTCGCAGCGCACACTGCTCGAATACTGGTTCAGTCTACGAAAGCAGCTCCAGGTCTGGTACGACGGTCTCCCTCCGACATTCCAGCCATCAGCCAGGGTTACACCTTCACACACGCCCGGTCAATCTCCGACAAACGAGAACGCAGCCATGTTCAGCGAAGTGTGGTACTCAATCCCCATGTGCGCTGCTACTATGCAGACATACCACATGTCGCAGATCCTTCTCTTCATGAACAAGCCGCACGAGTCGACGCAAGGCCGTAGCACGCTGGTTGCGCGCATGAACTCGTATCAATCTGTGCTTGCGACATGCCAGAAGCATAGCCGTGAGATCGTTGGAATCTCGCTGGCTCGGTCAGATGAGGCCGTTCGGATTCATTCCGTACAACCCTTGTTCACAGCTGGTCAATGCTTGAGCGATCCGCGAGAACGCCAAGTTGTCTTAGACCTTCTGAGGGACATTGAGTCTGACATCGGCTGGGCTACGGAGTATCGTGTGCGGCAATTATTCGAGCAATGGCAAGGAGAAGAACCGGAGGGTTTGGTACCATGAAGCCCATGTCCACCACGGAGGTGCTCAGCCCCATCCACCTCGGACCGCACACCCCTCCCATAATCCCCCTTCCCTCCAAACAGGGAGGTAATCTTTGATTTCAAGGCCGTTGTGCCTGTGTCAGCTTTGGCCGGACAGAAAGCCCTACCAAGAGTTTAGGCTGGTTTTGAGTCGTTCCGGGCAAGGACCCGGCTAAGGATGCGGTTGAGAAGCCGTTAGCGCGCCCAGACGCGCCCACATCGTCAAAGCAGCGGGAGCTATCGGAATAATACAGAGCGAAGGCAGCAAGTTGTGATTGCGTACTGAATGATGTACCATAGAATTCATTGGACAGAAAGCAACTGGAGCAAGGACGCCTTGAAATGAATGGCCGACAATCAAGCGGTGGTGGGTGCCTGCAATGCTACACCGCGGATCCATAAGGGATCCGGGCGCTGTGGGCGGCTACCCAGGCTATCTCAGATGGCGTGGAGAGCGTGAGAGAAAGATACAAAGATGAAGGAGAGATATAACGGCCAGGGAATATAGACAGATGTTGCATCTGGACCCACTTTGCACGGGGTGTTTTGGCACATATCAGCCCAAAGGCGGCAGAACTTTAGAATCGGAATTGCACACATGATACCCATTGAACCCCCACGACCATGAGTGTTGGCAAGTAATTCGTCTTTTGGGACCCCTGCATGCGCGTGACACGTCTATCTGTCTCTCTTTTTCTTGCACACACACACACACACATCACACACACACAGTCACACATACCCCTCCCTCCCACGCGCACCCCCCCTTCCAACCATAAACGAGATGACTACGCAGGGCAGCTGGCAACGCCCGCGATAACCACCACACGAAACCTATGTTTAACTTAAATTTTTGATGATATTTTTCACTCGCATCGCGTTTGACGAGATGCAGGAAACTCTAACCAAGGCTACTTGCAGCCGTGCCGCGTTGAGAAGAAGTCCGGCGCGGAACTTGGTGAACTCAAAGCAAGCCGCATGCCCCGCTTTTCTTCTTCCTACCATATCGGAAGTTCCGGTTTCCCCTTCCTATCGGGCAAAAAAGGCACACGCATACTTACTGTAGACAAGACAGAAGCACAGAGAAAGAAGGGGGACAGAACCACGCGAACGAACTTTGTTTTTCGGGGCCTTGGTTCCGTTCAGGGTCCAGGTGAGGGGAGGGGGGTAGGTTAAGCACAGAAGGTAAAAGCAAAAAAAACGGATACTTGCCAGATACCCGAAAAAGGACCCTCATTTTGTTTTTCTTATTCTGCTCGCTTCTGTTGAATTGGGAAAAAGGGCATACAGCGTTAAAGTAAGAATCGGGATAACCGAATCTAATGAAAATAGAAAAAAAGGTCAAAAAAGAGGGTTGCTGTTAGTCACAAAAGTGACCTTACACAGAAAGGGAGATCCGAAATAAGGCAAAAAATACAAGAGGGGGAAGGGGGGGAAAAAGAGGGTTCGGGCGACAAACAGGCTTAGCGCGGGTAAAGAATGCTGGTTCATCGGCGAACAACACAGTGAGCAAAGCAGACAAAGAGGACAGATGTGGCGTGGTCAGTGCACATACACACGCACCCAACTGAGAAATACCGCTTACTACAAGGACCACCAAGACAGTAGTAGACAAGACGAAAAGAGAGAAAGAGAGAGACAGAGAGGGGACACACGGACTCCGAAGCAAAAATTAAAAAATCGAAACCAACGAAAAAAAGGGTTTAGAACCGAACAACGAACAACCAACACGGACGAACTCCGTACGTAATGTAAGGTAAACGTCAGAAGAGCAGCAGCAGCAGCAACAATAACAATAACAACAACAACGCCAGAAAAAAAACGATGCAGAACTTTGCAAGGACTGTGCCTGCAACACACACACACACACACATACGCACGCACACACGCAAAACATGGCCAACATAGTTTTGAGTCTTCTTTTTCTTTTTCTTTTTCTTTTTCTTGGTACTACTTTACTCTCTAACTATACTGGTGACTTCCCGTAACCAAACCCTACTACTTTTACACCACCACCATCACCACCACCAATACCACCAATACCACCCACCACACTATTACACACGCACAGGTCCGTAGCGCAAGCGCACGCGCACACGCACACGCAACGCACGACGCAAAGGCCGCAAAACACTGCATAGCCCGCCGCCTTCGCCGCCGTCGCCGCCGCACTTGCGCATCGACGTTTAATCAGGGTCTGAATGCACTGGACAAGTTTTATTTTTTATTTTTTATTATTTTGGCCGGTGTCTATCTCTCGCAAACAAGGAAAAGGCTTGCTGCTTGCCTTTTCGCTCAGAAGAACTCGGGACCCCCGCCTTTGAGGGGAGGGGGGGGAGGCTGGCAGGTAGGCAGGCTAGGCAGGTTGGCGCGCCTTTTCTCTGTTGTTTAATTCGCCGTCAGTGCGGATCCGGTTCACGACCGAGACGAGCGGCGCGCGAGCGCCAGAAGTAAAAAAAAAAGGGTAGGGTAAGGGCCACCACTCAACTTTGACATGGGAGCTTGGCGAGACACACGCACGAACAGCTGCCTCTTAGGGGTTTTTTTTTTACCTTTTGCGCATTTTTCTACTGTGCATTTGCCCTGCATATATTGAATGCAGCGAACACTAGTGTGGTAGGTCGGCGGCCAGAGAGGGTAGAGCGGTTAGCTGGGTGATGGCGCTTTTGTTTTTCTGTTTTAACATTTTTACTGTTGTATAGGTCATACATGCATGACGCAGGAGAAGGGAAAAAGATGACACCGATCAGATGGCTTGTCTTTTTCTCCTGCGGCTAGGGCATGGGGGGTGGCAGGCATGGGTTTTCGGGGGAGGGGAGGGGGGGGGTAATGGTTCGAGAGACCCTTGAGCTTGTTCATGCGCTTCGGTGGCGGTGGGTATGACGGTGCAAAGTGTAAGAGACAGAGAGAGAAGGGGGCGTGGTGTGGCAGTGCATGGGCGCGCGTGAGTGTGTGGTTGGTCGAAAGTAGAGGCGTTGCTTCGGCGCGAATGCCAACGATAATTTCGTCATGGGCGGGCGATGGAGACAGGGTGAGTCGTGCACGTGTGGGTGTGTGTGAAGCGCGTCTAGGGTTGGGAGAGATGATTTGAATTTCGTACGAAGATGCCGGATTCAAGGACAGGAGAGAACAGGAAGATTGGCGTCGCTACTACACGTGTAAGCGGTGGCTGTTGGCTGTTACTAAGTGGTGGCTGTCTATTACTCTACAGAATCAGCGAATACGAAAACGTGGTTTAAGGTTTGGTCTAAGAGACGGGAACAAACGAGGTGTGGTGCCTCGTAACGAGTCGTAGAATTTTGTCAAGGGGGATCCCGGAAGGGGAGTGGTGGGGATACGGGTGGGGGGGGAAACACGTCCTTTGTTGGGGCCATGATAGTTGGCTCTCCCGGTGATGCGCAATCACAGCTTGGGAGTGAGCAATGCAAGTAATAGTTTCGACTGGGAAACTCGGCAATGACGAAAGAATCATACCACGGAACGCGCGCGATGTTACGTATGTGAGTACATGAGGGCCCTGGAGGAGTGCGGTGAAGGCGGAGCCGCACGCAAGGCATGGGTGCGGTGCGTGTGCGTGTGCGCGCGCGTGTATGTGTGTGTGTGTGTGTGTGTGTCCAAGTACAGGTGTATAGTATGCGCATGCGTTGTTGTTGTTGACGAGGATGATGATGTGTGAGAGAGTGTCTGGTCTGGTTACACAGCAACCGTGTGCTGTGCTGGGGGGGAGGGACTAGAAGCCGATGGATACATATGTATATATTCTGACCGGTTGGTGGCTGCTGGAGGGTCTTCTGGCGGCTGGTGCAGGCGCAGGTGGTAAGGTAGTGAGTGGGTGGAGGTGGGTGGTGCGACGCATGTGCATGCGCATGTGCATGTGCATGGCATGGCATGGCACAGCAAGGTATGGGCTGGTGGGCTGTTGGCTGGCATGTCGAGTGAGTGAGTAAGTAACTAACTACTCACATGTGCATATGCAAGCGAGAGAGGGAGCGAGGGAGCGAGGGAGTGCAAGCAAGTGCAGGCAACAGCAAGGCCTGCAGGACTGATTATGCACGATGGCGTAACCTTGCAGTGCGGATTAAGCGAGCCCTGGTTGGCTGACAGCGCTTCTCGAAGATTGCCGACCCCGGCCTAGTGCGGCTTAACGGCGTCTAGCGTGCACTACTGCAGGCTGTCATGCATGGCGCTAGCGAGCGGGTGAGACGACCAGACGATGAGACGACCAGACCACAGGGCAGGGGGCCATCTCGGCTTGCCCATTCCAGCTGGAAGATTGCGGCAGCGAGCGGCTCCGCCATTTAACCATGAATTGGGTAAACCTTTGCAGCCCCTGTTCCTGGCCCGCGCCCTGGCCCAACCTGTGCCCTGAGATGCTGATATCACCCTCTCGGCCACTTGTTGATTCGTAACAGCAAAAGGGTCTTCTTCGGCTGTAACTAGGTCGCTTGCGTGAAACGGTCGCGCATCTGTCCACCCGGTCATGCTGCTGGAGCTCGCTGTCTCTGTTCTTCTAGCGGAACTCTATGCCATGCGACAGAGGGCCGTCCCTCTAGAGGTTCCCTGGCCCAGCCCACAGGGTCGAGCTCCATTCACTAGCCAAGCGTTTGCCCAAACCACTAGGCCGCGTGTGGCAAATGCAACGAGATGGCTTGACGCACAGCAGCGTGCAGATGCCTCGTGGCTGGCCTCGAGCTACTACTTACATGACAGCTTCGAGCGCCTTCTAGGGGTGCCTACTAGTACTCTACTCACGGCCAGAGCTTGTAGGTAAGAAGACGACGCCTGTGCGTGTGCGTGTGCTTGTGCTCGCACCACGCTTTTGCTTTGGCGCCGATCGGCAGCCGATATAGCCGCCACGACTCAGGTGCCGACGTCTCACCTCCATGTTACCTGTCGTACAAGTGCATGGATGGTGTACATGTCAATGTACCTACTACGTAAGTCGCACATGCTTTTACACGTACATACTAAAATACATGC